ATAATTTCTCCCATATTGTATTGGTGGTGGAATTCAGCCTGAGAGATGTTGGCTTGCCTGAGGATAATTTCCTCGCTGAGTATTTGAACATGGGATGCAGGTGGCGCTGTGGTTTAAACCACTGAGCCTCTTGGGCTTGCTGATCAGAAGGTCGGCGGTTTGAATCCCTGCGACAGAGTGAACTCCCGTTGCTCTGTCCCAGCTCCTGCCAACCTAGCAGTTCGAAAGCACACCAGTGCAAATAGATAAATATGTACTGCGGCGGCGGGAAGGTAAACAGCGTTTCCATGTGCTCTGGTTTCCGTCATGGTGTTCCGTTGCGCCAGAAGCGGTTTAGTCATGCTGGCCACTTGACCTGGAAAACTGTCTGTGGACAAACGTCGGCTCCCTCGGCCTGAAAACGAGATTAGAGCCGCAACCCCATAGTCGCCTTTGACTGGACTTAACCATCCAGGGGTCCTTTACCTTACCTTTTACCTATTTGTACAGGGGGCTCCCAAAGTCTCTCACCCAGCACTATACCACACCAGCTCTTTAACATGCTATCATGTGACTTTGCAAATACAAATTGCTCCATGCTGTTGGTGGTGGCTCTTCCGCCTCAAAGAAATGGCTTTGTGAATGCTTTCACATATATATATATGGAAAAGGTAAAACCTTTAGCAAAGGTGTCATGGGCTTTGAAGACACTCAAACTCAGGACGCAATGGAGAAACGTGCTAGGAGGAAGGCACACTTGGCAAATCCACACTGTGATCAGCTCCCGCCCGGAAACCAATGTCCCCACTATGGAAGGATGTGTGGATCCAGAATTGGCCTCCACAGTCACTTATGGACTCGTTGTTAAAACCGTGTTTATGGAAGACAATCTTACTCGGCTACAAGTGACCGCCAAAGAAGAAGGTGTGTGTGTGTGTGTGTGTGTGTGTGTGTGTGGAACTGGAGTGGGAATCACTGAAGGCACACAAGCTGTCAGAGTGATCTTGCCAAGTCTGACACCTTGGGTCATTGAAGGCCACCTTCAACAAGATTTTGTGAGCATCAGTCTCTTTGCGCCTGAGATACACACAGACATTATGCGATTTTCACCTTTTGTGTGTTTCCGCACTGTGCTTCCCTGCAGACCTGGGCATCTCATCTTAAAGAGAGGATTAGGAACAGTAATATCAGGACCTACACGGACCTTCTTTGAGAAAGATAAGCCACAATAATAAAGCTTAGGATGAAGAACTCTGATCTACCGGCAGAACAAGGAGGATGAAGTCTTATGCTATAAGGTGCTTAGTGTGATATATCCTGCTCGTGGTAAGTCAGGGTAGGGGAGTAAAATTGAATAGGCCTACAAATCTGTGCCAGAACTCTAGAGACGGTTTTGAAACCAATCTCAATAGTCCTGAGAATGTAGGGATTTTTCAAAAAACAACTAGATCCTCCAGAATCAATATCAAAACCTTAACACACACACACCCGGAAACTGCATTACCTTTGTTTAGCGTGCCCTGTGAGGCAATGGAGACTTTTTCAGGGGAAAAGTTTAAAGGCCTACCTAGGGGATTTTACCAAGACCATGCTTCTTATCAAGGAAGCCAGGCCAGAATTCTTCGAACTCCTGTTGGAAGGTTCATGGAGAATGAGAGCAAAGGATTAGAGGCGTATGACGGTTATAAATTACGAGGAAGGGCTTTGCTCCCATCTGTCTGCGTCTCAATCAGAAGAAAGGCCGAGAAACTCTTTCCGCAGAAAGGGTGAGTCTATGGGGGAAGCAGTTAGTAAGTCCTGTTATCCGCAAGCAGTGCCAGGGCTGCAGATGCATCTCTTAGCGCAAAATGTCAGAGGGAAGTCAAAAGAGTTCCAAATATAAAAGAAAGGAGTCATTTCACCCCTCAAGGATCCCACACATTTCTGATTTCTCATGATCCTCTGCATCCTAAGGAAGGCACATACTCTGTCTGGTGTGGTCACCGCCATTCAAGTCTCCAGAGCCTGCAGCCCTGCCTCATTAGATAAGCACGTGTGTTTTCAGAGTAGCAGCGTTCCTTGATGTCGGGCCGCTAATTGTAATTCTGAATTATTCTGCCTTTCTCTGCTGTCCCCTGACAAATGGCTTGGCATGATGACAAGTAAACACCTTTATTAATAATATATAACCACGATAATTAAGAATGAAATGTTCCAGCCGAGCCAGCTAATTATTTATCATTTATCAAAGCCGCGTGATGCAGCTTTAAATCACGTCTAGCTACACTTACGGAGGGAGGCAGAGGTTACTTTTTTCAGTGTGGGCTGCGAGGAACACGTCTCGCCACCCGTTCTCTCTGCGTTTCCCCCCCCCTTTCAGCAAATTAAGAGAAAAACACCAGTGCAGGCCAATGGTCCCTTTACTGCACCTCCACATAACAGAGATGACTGGCAGGGTGGGGGGGAAGAGGGCTGAAGCATGACTGTGTTCAAAGCATCTCCACCAATGTTCTGCCCCCCTCTCTAATGTACATAAGAAGAGCCTGCAGGATCAAGCCAGGGGCCCAATCTAGTCCAGTATCCTGTTCTCACAGTGGCTAACCAGGTGCCTGTGGGAAACCGTCAAAGTGGACCTGAGCACAAGAGCACCCTACCCTTTCGTGGCTTCCAACAACTGGTATTCAGAAACATTACTGATCACAGCCATCACGGCTAGTAGTCATCGAGAGCCTTCCTCTCCATGAATCTGTCCAACCCTCTTCTAAAGCCATCCAAGTTGGTGGTCCTTCACTGCCAGTATTTATTCACATGGTAAATACATGGCATTTACCATATGGATCAGGGACTGGGGCCGTCATGGAGAACTGGGTGTTGGGAACCTTTGCAAGTCCATGGCTGCGCACCCTAGAGGACAGATTTCTGGGGGTTGTGTACCAGTAATAGGTGAGGGGGTCAGAGGCAAAATTGGGGGAAAGAGGGCCTTTGTGGTAGTGGCACCCACCCTGTGGAATGCCGTCCCATCAGATGTCAAGGATGTAAGTAACTATTTAACCTTTAGAAGACATCTGAAGGCAACCCTGTATAGTGAAGCTTCTTAATGTGTAATGTCTTATTATGTTTTTATATATGTTGGAAGCTGCCCAGAGTGGCTGCAGCAACCCAGTCAGATGGGCAGGGTAATAAAGCAACAACAATAGTACTAGTACTACTAGTAGTAATACTACTACTACTACTAATAATAATAATAATAGTGCTACTACTACTAGTAGTAATAATAATAACAATAAGGCAGCACCTTAACCTTGTATAGCAGGCTTCTTTTCAGCCATGCAAAAGTCAGCAACCCTTCATCCTCACACACCTCTCCAGCCTTCACCCGTTTCAAGCAAGAGGCATTATCACAGTTACATGACACATTCCAGCCACAAGAAAGCATTTGAGGCATTTGTGGATCAGAGCCAGTGTGGGGTGCAGCCTGTGGAGAGAAGGTGTGGCCTGAGAAGGTGGCATGAAATAATGAAGAGCATTGAAAGCTGGATAAAGAGGCCGGGGGAGACACATTTGATCTCTGGCCTGCAGTTCCTTGTCAACCCAATATTTTTTGCTGTGTGAGGCCAGGACAAGACCGGCCCCTGTGCTGTTTTCAATCTAAAGAAGTTGACAGGGCTGGCGGTTGGAATCTTACTTCAAAACTGGCAACGGCGTTGGTATTCTTCACTGAACTTATAGTTTAGGGGGCACAGGCTGCCCAATGTTGCTGTGATCTACCAGCGAAGAGAAGTACCCGTGCTCTGGCTTCATATTGCAGGCATAGCAGGCCAAAATGTCTGCCATGGCTCTCTTGTTAGAAAATCAATTTGGTAATATTCAATACAACACTGGAGGAGGCAGACAAATGTGCCAGTACCAAGGAGAGATAGAGTCACCAGACAGCGAAGAAAGAACTGAGGCAAAAAAACCCCTACAAAAACAAATGCTGTGTCTTTCAGCGGCCACTAAATGACCCAGTGAGATAAAAGAAGTCTTGATTGTGGTACTCCGTACCTGGCTCTTTTCAGATTAATGTTACTGTACTGGGAATGTTAGTTTACGGTAGAATTCGCTGGAGTCTGAAGTGGTGCAATCGCAAAGCAATTTGTGGCTGAGGTAATTCACAACTGCTTCCCTTCGCAGCAGCTTTACAAAGAAAGCCAGATAAACCAAATTAAGCCGTGGGCTTGTTTTGTATCCCAGCAAACCACTGTGCAGTCCAACTTTAAAAAAAAAAAAAAACATTGTGCAAGGCTCAGGCCGCAACCTAATTAGTTTGCAGGGAATTACCTCCATCGCCAATTTATCTTATGCATGTTTACTATGAAGTAAAATCCACTGGGTTCAATAGGGCTTACTCCTGGAAGGAGTGCATAGGAATGCAGCCTTAAGAGTTAAAACTGCAAAAAGGGCTCAGCACCATGTCCATTAGGGACGTGGGTGGCACTGTGGGTTAAACCACAGAGCCTAGGACTTGCTGATCAGAAGGTCGGCGGTTCGAATCCCCACGACGGGGTGAGCTCCCGTTGCTCGGTCCCTGCTCCTGCCAACCTAGCACTTCGAAAGCACGTCAAGTGCAAGTAGATAAACAGGTACCGCTCCTGCGGGAAGGTAAACGGCGTTTCCGTGCGCTGCTTGATTCGCCAGAAGCGGCTCAGTCATGCTGGCCACATGACCCGGAAGCTGTATGCCAGCTCCCTCGGCCAATAAAGCGAGATGAGCGCCGCAACCCCAGAGTGTGACTGGACCTAATGGTCAGGGATCCCTTTACCTTTACCATGCCTATTAAGCATCTTTTTCTCCGTTGCAAAAAAGGGAGGGAGGACCTTCATTTTGTTGGCAGTCTAGCTTGTAATGTACAGTTGGGTCACATTCACAAGCAACCTATAGTTGGTCTGAGGTTCTATCGTAAGTGCATGGAACATCCTGTCAATGCAGAAATAGCACACACGTTCTGGAGTTTAATAACACACAAGAACTGATTAACAACGTACAAATTACCCAACAAGCGATTCACTGATATTTTCAGGAACTGTTATGTTTTTCACTTTTTATTACCTGAAAATTCCACCATTGCCAAAAGCTTCCACATGATAGAAACTGCTTTCAAACAGAAGGGGGGGTGGGCAGGGCAGCGATAAAAGAAAACTGGAGAATTCAAAGCTCAAAATCTTCCCTCTACTCCTAATTTCTGTACAACTGATTCCTCGATGGATTTATGGATGCAGTTTACTTCCTTCTGAGTCAAGGTCTTTTCCAAGTGGCGGTAAGTGATCTCGTAACAATGGCTGGTCCTTTTTGTCCTAGGAAACAAAAACCAGATGTTGGAGAGTTATACGTCAAATAAAAAAAATATAGAGAAAGAGCACGCCCTCACAGTTACTTCCTGCTTTTTCTTGTCTTGTTGTTAATTACATATGCCAATACAAGGGATGGAGCATAATGCATAATTCACTTACAAGGAAGAGAAACCAGCAAAATTTGTTTTGTAGCCCCACTTGTATCTCAAAGGTACAACCATCATGCTTTTCTACTTTTAACATTCTTTCTCATCTTGAAACCTCGTACCAGTGGTTATGTGCCCCTCTGCTGAGGTGCCAGAGGGAAGTCAATTTTAAAATCATCGGGGGGGGGGGGGGAGAGACTGCGACTGCACCTTGGGATCTTCTGCCTGCTGTGAAATATCTAAAAAGAAGAAGGGGGTCAGGGAGAGGAGGAGGTGAAGAAAACCCTAGCAGCTAAAGAGGCATACCGTATTTTTCGCCCCATAAGACGCACTTTTTCCCCTCCAAAAATGAAGGGGAAATCGGGGTGCGTCTTATGGGGCGAATGCCTGCAAGCCTCGCGCGCCCGGCAGGAGGTCCCACCGGGTGCGCGAGGCTTGGGGCAGCAGCCTGTCGCCCGAAGCACAGGGAGCCCTCCGGAGGGCTCCCCCTGCTTCGGGCGAGTGTCTGCAAGCCTCGCGCTCCCGGCAGGAGGTCCCACCGGGTGCGCGAGGCTTGGGGCGGCAGCCTGTCGCCCGAAGCACGGGGAGCCCTCGGGAGGGCTCCCCCTGCTTCGGGCGAGTGTCTGCAAGCCTCGCGCTCCCGGCAGGAGGTCCCACCGGGTGTGCGAGGCTTGGGGCGGCAGCCTGTGCTTCTAGGTGCGCGCAAGCAGTTTGCTAGCCTTGGGAGAGCCGCGGGGCTCTCCCAGGGCTAGCGGACCCCTGCGCTACACCAGAAGCTTGGGGCGTGCCGAGCTCAGCGCGCCCCAAGCTTCTGCGTGCGCGCAAGCAGTCCGCTAGCCCTGGGAGAGCTGCGCGGCTCTCCCAAGGCTAGCGGACTGCTTGCGCGCACCTAGAAGCACAGGCTGCCGCCCCAAGCCTCGCGCACCCGGTGGGACTGCTTGCGCGCACCTAGAAGCTTGGGGCGCGCTGAGCTCAGCATGCTCCAAGCTCCTGGTGTAGCGCAGCGATCCGCTAGCCCTGGGAGAGCCCCGCGGCTCTCCCAAGGCTAGCGGACTGCTTGCGCGCACGCAGAAGCTTGGGGCGCGCTGAGCTCCGCACGCCCCAAGCTCCTGGTGTAGCGCAGCGCACCTGGGGGGGAAATAATTTTTTCCCCCTTTATTTCCCCCCAAAAAAACTAGGTGCGTCTTATGGGCCGGTGCGTCTTATGGGGTGAAAAATACGGTATGTAAAATTCCCAATGATTATTATTAAACCAATGATTTACCTCAAGCAAGTGAACCAATCCACATTCCCCAGGGCACAAAGGAACCAAACAAACACACATTCAAAGGAGAGAGGGTTCGTACAAGGAGAGTGAGTATTATTTTACTCTGTAAAACACCATGTACATTGATGGTGGCAGGTAAATCAAAAATAACCCTTCATGCTTGTGATGAAGAGGTCTCTGGTCCACAAAGCTTATGCCACAATAAATCTGTTAGACTTTATGGGGCCACAAGGCTCTCTCCTGCATTTGATGTATGAGTCTTATTCTCAGTGTGTGTGTGTGTGTGTGTGTGTGCATGCGTGCGCCCCCCCCCCCCGCGCACACACACACACACACACACACACCCCTACCTAATGGGAAGGGGGACTAGGGAAGGTAAACAGTAGGGCCAAAAGGCCACTGAACACAAGCTTAGGCCACGATAAATCTGTTTGTCTTAACTGTGCTACAAGGCTCTTTTTTCTGTTTGTTGTAAGACAGCTGTCCTGCCTGAATCCTACAATAAATGCCCAATCACACAAGTCGATTGACTTTTTAAAAAACCAACAAGCACGCGCTTGGTAATGTATTTAGACTGGTACCACACAGTCGTATTACACAGTGTTGTTCTGTATTAAATTTCTGTATGGGTTTCTTGGGGTGGAAGGGATATTTATTACCCACCCTGGGACCTTAGGGCGAAGGGCAGGTATCAAACAAACAAACAAACACTACTGCCACATGCAGAACATTGTAGTAATCCCACAATAATCCCTTTCGGACTGCACTTCCTGTCCGCCAGGTTTCTTTAGAAGCACTTCCTGGGGTTGGAACAGACAAGCATGTGGGCTTATAGTGCACATACACAGGCAAGCTGGAACAGAGGCAACTTTCCTGTGAACCCAGCTACCCACAACTTCTCTTAAAGAGGACAAAAACAGGCAGCTTTAAAAAAAAAGGAAAGAGCTATGCGCCACTTAGGTGGTTAAAGGCTGCACCAATCGGTGGATCCTTTACCTGGAAACGTTGAAAGCCACTACTGCAGAGAACGCAGTTTGCAACACTGTCAAGAGCCGAAATACCCAGCCAGAAAAACTCTTGAGCCTGCAGTTCTGCTAGGTCAACAAATGCTAAGGATTAACACTGAGTAAGGAGGACATTATTTACCCAAACTGCACCTTCTGACAACTCCATCCGGCCTGCAATCACACAGCCTCTTTCTCCTTTCATTAAGCTTTAATTGATCTTAGCGTCACAACATACTCAGCCACAGCCTGAGGCTTTCGGGTAATGAAACACAGTAAATACACTGGAGCGCCACACAAGGGACGATGGGGAGAAACATAGCGCAGATATATTGATGGATTCTCGTGCCAAAAGGAGCATAAATAAAAACACCTCTCAGCAAATAAAATGGCTGAAACAAAAGACATTATTTTGTGTAATAGTGGCAGGAATGATTGCATGATCAGCATTCCATATATGTTGACAGCAATGTCTACAGCTGGACATAGGAGGCTGAGAGCTAAACCAGATTAAGAACATGGATGTCTCTATCATATGTGTGCATTTTAAAATAACAGTTTTGTGTGTGGAGGCGGGGTGATCTGGATCAGGACCATGACCTGGGCAAATGGGATTTAATTCGTCCCCCTAACCACACAGCTTTCCTGCTGAAAAATCTCCCTCCAGAAGGCTGCCGTTTACAAGGGGTATTGTGGAAGGATGTGACAAGAGTGAAAGGGTGATTATCCTCATGTGCTCATGAGGTGACAGTTTCCCCTATTGCAGGCATGTCCAATTTGAAGTTGACTATGATCCACAATGCAATATAAAAACTGGCACCCAGGGATGGGTGCAGGGTGGGCGGGCGCTGGCTGCTTCCCTCAACATGTCAGGGGTGGCTGCAGGGAGGGAGGGCACACACTGACGGGGTAGGGGTGGGCACATGCAGCGTCAAAACAGCCCCAATGTCTCCAGGAGAGGGCAGGTGGCGACTGACCAAAATTCATCGCAGGATCTACCCGTCGATCATGATCGACGTGTTGGACATGTCTGCCCTATTGCAATGGGTTGGTGGAAGAAGAAAATGGTCTTCTCAGCAGTGGCCCCAAAGTTCTGGAATTCTATTCTGAGTAAGATCCAGCAAGCACAGCATTTTCAAATGGTCCTTAAAGACCCATCTTTTTACAATAGCCTTTAGGGGCTAATTTACTAACCGGGCTTTAGATGTTGATATGGTCATTACTGCTTTGACGAATCTTTGATGCCATATTATTGTAATATTGGTTTGAATGAAGTCTATGTCTATGCATTTTCAATGGCTTTTAACATTCTATTTTACGCGTATTAGTACATACACAGTTTGTAAATACGCACTTTGGGAGGCATCCCTGCTCTTCCCCTAAAAGTGGTATATACCGTATTTTTTGCACCATAACACTCACTTTTTTCCTCCTAGAAAGTAAGGGGAAATGTCTGTGCGTGTTATGGAGGAAATGCCTACGGGTGGCATGCCTACGGATTTTCCTCCTCTAAAAACTACGTGCGTGTTATGGTCAGGTGCGTGTTATAGAGCGAAAAATACGGTAAGTTAAATAAACAAAAGAAAGAAAGAAATCTCAATTCCGCTTCCTATCCCCACCCCTGCTATTTGAAAAGAAGAGGAGAAAACCAGAGAGACAAAGAGTGTTTTTAACATTAAATCCAGTTTGGCCCTTATGCAGGTCATTAGACATTCCATTTACCTCAGGTATTAACTCTTTCTTTTTCTTTCTTTCTTTCTTTCTTTCTTTCTTTCTTTCTTTCTTTCGTCAGTTCATTTACCTCAGTATTACCTCATTTGTTTATTTAGTCAGTCCATTTACCTCAGCATTTCCTCCTTATTTATTTATTTAGTCAGTTCATTTACCTCAGTATTACCTCATTTGTGCGTTTGTTTGTTTGTTTGTTTGTTTATAGCCAACTTTTTACTCTAAGGGGCTCAAGATGGTGCACATATTTCCCCCCACCTTCCTCATTTAATCCCCACAACAGCCTAGGCTTAGAGACTGTGACTGACTGGCTGGTCCTAGGTCACTTGGCTAGGTCACAAGCTAGGCTTAGAGACGGTGACAGACTGACTGGTCCAAGGTCACTTGGAGTGCTTCATGGCTGAGTGGGGATTCAAACTCTGGTCTCCTTGGTCACAAGTCGACGATCTAACCATTTATACCACACCGACTCTCATGGACCACGCTGCTCACACGCTGAAGACCGCTACACCCCTTACTCAATTAGTTTTGCAACAATTATAGGGCTCTCCGTCCATGCGAGAGAGGCTAGAAGAAAATATTGCAAAGTGATTAGAGCTGACAAACAATGGCTATTTCCTCTCTGCGTTATGCTCTCAAAACCGCCACATCTAACAGAGTGCAGATGATTACTCTAAACCATGCTATAAATTTCGAAGCTGACCATTATTGCTCTTGGCTCCAAGCCAGCTAATGGTAAGATGGCTGAAGCTTGCATGGCATCACACAGTCAATGGGAATATGATTTAAACCCACACCCCACCAATATATGTGCTTGAACCAGAGTAGACTTAAGACCTACTCCTCTTGCTTTTTTTT